GTGTGTGTGTGTGTGTGTGTGTGTGTGTGTGTGTGTGTGTGTGTGTGAGAGAGAGAGAGAGAGATGAGTCTCTCCTATGCCCCTCAAAGTACAAGATTTTATTATCACTTTCACATCACTGTGCTCTGCTTAATACACAACTGTTGTACTCACTTGAGACTTCCTGGCTCTACTCTTAATACCCATCAATTGGCCTGGCTCTTTGATAACTAAAACTCTGATTGCTCTTGGCAACTTAAGAAAGGGCTTGAGTTCCCATCCACTTCTAGAAATAACAGACAAGGGAGAAAGGAGTTGACCTCTAGGAAAAGGAAAACCTAAGCCAATGGTGACAACTAGTAGTCACTTCTCATCTACCCGAAACCATACAGAAAAAGGAGGGCAGGTAATCTATTTTGAGGGCTGGAAATGAGCTGGAAGTAAGAGTTGTTAGTTGGGTAAGGATCTGGTCTGTCTGGTAATCCACTAGGCTCACATGATTTGTGCAGGATTGAAGGTCCTGAACCTGTGTGCAGGTTTGTGGAAACCAAGACCTGGAGATGAAATAAAGTACAAATGTAAAAAGTCATTTTGTTGAATGAAGAATATAAATGTGTAAAACTTGGTTTGCTCATATATATAAAGTATTTGGTATATTCATTTAAAATACAAATAAAGTTAGGGAACACAATCCTTACAGCCAAGGTACAGGACACCCAGTGCAGCCAATGTTGTTAGCATTCTGTTTTGCTGAAAGCACAGAGCACTCTGCACATCCACATCCTTATATTAGGGCTTCCCCACTCCACCTTTGATCAGATGCATTTGTGGTCTGCAGACTTTACTTGACTGCATTGGCCATTACCTTGGTTACACATTGGGTTCCCCTCCAGAACTGAAAAAAAAATACCTGGCCCTGGGAATGAAAAAAATTTTTAAGTACACAAGGTGATTCTCACATGCAGCCAAGTGAATACCACTGTTTCACTGCAAGGTTGGGTGAGTGATTCCCAAATCCAGCTTTGCATCATAATCACCTACGTAGCCTTTTCTGAACTATGAACAGCAATCTTTAGCCAGGAAATCACAATCATCCATGACAAGCATTCAAATAGGAGGAAGAACACACAAGGTGAAGCTAAAACAATTTAACTGCCATAAGAATCCTAACCTGGCTAGTATCATTCAGGAAAGTACACTTTTGGTCTCTGGACAGGTCCAGGTCACAGATTTATCCCCAATCTTCAGACCTGCTCTACCTCTCTTCTGGGCTTCCTGATCCTGCAGGGGGAAAAACCTAAGCTTGTTCCTCAGCAGACACAGGTGTTATCTTTGGGTCTCTCCACTCCCAGCTGGGGGACAGGAACAGTCACTTTCAAGGTGAGTACATAGCATTTTTGATCCTCACTTTTGAATCCTATTAATTTCTTAGAGTTGTGTATGATTTAGACTGTAAACTGGGAAAAGGTGGTGCACATGCTTGGATGAAAGACTATGGTTGAAGGGGAGTAGAAAGAGGAAATAAGCTTTGTTTATGCCTTCTGTACATGAAAGCACTCTGTAAAATACAAAACAAATGAGTCAGTAAGAGTCCCAATGGTGGGACTTCTACATGAGTTGCATCAGATAGCTTATCACCAGGTAGGGCATTTATGATACGCTCTTGCTTACTAAGCGGGGTGAAGAGACAGACCCAGAACTTGGGAGACTCAAATTCCAGTCTCAGATTTGCTGCTTACTGGTCACATGGCCTAAGGCACATCCTAAAATCTGTCACCTCAGCTTCCTCACCTGAAAATGAGCCATATACCCCTTTCTCAGGCTCTCTGCAGATCTGGGTGGTTAGACACAGGTGGTTAGACACAGCATGGCAGAACAGAGAACCTGGATTTAAGTCCTGGATTTGAATGTAGGCTGTTCTTTGTTATTTGACCACTCTTAACTAAATGGGGCAAACACTTCTTTCAGCGTTCTCAGGATTAAAGTAAGGATCTATGTGAAAGCATAAGAGAAGTGCTGGGGATTATGATTCTATACATGAAGGTGTATAAACAAAGAATTAAGTTCTATATTAAATACAAGGCAATATTACATAGCTCTACCGATTGCATAGTTCTATAAATCATTTTTTCCAGGAATAAAGGCTCAATGATAACAAAGGTTATCTTACCTTAGCCAGTTTCTTCATCTTTCTAAGTTTTCACATTCCAATACCTTTGAGCTTCTCAAAAAAATAAAGACCTTAGGAGTCCCACTCTGCCTCCTTCCTCTCCCTGTATTTCCCTCTTTGGTCCTCTTAAATTTTTAGGACTCCATTATTTCTTCTAAAGACCAGCCAAAAAGTGAGAATGACACCCAAACTGAGCCCCCTGGCTGGGCCTGAGCAGAATGAGCATAGATAATGTGGGCATGCCTCTCAGCAAGCTTTCTTTGACTCCTCTATGTGAGAAGGGGACTGTTACAGGCATCTCACTCCGATGGAATGCAATGGAAGTTAGGGTCACTTGGAGAGTTGATGTTAACAAATGAATACTGCCTGGCAGCATTTATGGTCCCAGTGTTTTGTCGCCATCAATCCTCAAGTGCTTGGCCACACAGACTGCAGAATGGAAGACTCGAGATCTCCCCAGAGCTTTACCATACCAAGGTTCAGGAGGTATAGAGGATTAAAAGAAACAGCTGTTTCCTACTTCTATTTTAGGAGCGGCCGATAGTTAATGTTTTGTGTTTTTTCTTTTAATGTTTAAATTGCCTAAGGTGTGGCAAGCTTATAAATGATCACAGGTGAGTTGTTGTTGAATTGCTACCCCAAGTAGTTTCCTTAGTCATTACTTCTTAACCCAAAATACTAGAATACAAGATTCAAAGCTCCAGAATTCCACCAAGCAGACCTATACCAATAACCTGGCTGTTGCTCAAGAAATTACGAGTTTTTAAAAACAAGATTAAGTTAAAATACCTTTTCTCAAATAGGATCTTTATCACTTAGCCTTGTATGACCCATTTCTAAGAAAGCCACACTCCATTTCAAACATGATGACAGTTAAAAAACACAGTCCTTGCCTTTAGGTGCTTAGCTTTCACTTTTTTTAAGTCAGCTTCTGAAATGTTTATGTTCTATGATACACTCCTGAAAACTGTTAAGAATATGGTGGGCCTCATTTTTAGAGGAACATAACAGCAAAGACGTGTCCAATTAGGGTGTAGTGGATTATGATCAATGCCTGGAATAACAAATTCTTGTTACTCAACAAGATGGGTTCTGTGGTGTCGCATGAGGTGCGAGTTAGAAATGAAAGCTGCACCACACTTGGCACACTCATAGGGCTTCTCCCCAGTGTGGGTTCTCTGGTGCACAGTGAGGCTTGACCTCTGCCGGAAGGCCTTGCCACATTCATTGCATGTGTAAGGTTTTTCCCCATTATGAATTCTCTGATGAATAAGCAGGTATGAGCTACACGTGAAGGCCTTCCCACACTCATTACACACATAAGGAAGATCTCCACTGTGAATCCTCTGATGCACAATAAGGCAAGACAGCTGACTGAAGGCTTTTCCACACTCACTGCAATCATAAGGTTTCTCCGCAGTGTGAATTCTCTGGTGCACAATAAGGTGTGAAAAACAACTAAAGGCTTTGCCACACTCTTTACACTCATATGGCTTTTCACCAGTATGGCTTCGTTGATGTACAATAAGATTTGCACTCTGGGTGAAGGCTTTGCCACAATCATTACAGGCAAAGGGCTTCTCCCCAGTGTGGATCCTCTGGTGGACAATGAGGTTTGAGCTCCGAGTAAATGTTTTCCCACACTCATTACATTCATAGCATTTTTCCGTAATGTGAACTTTCTGGTGCCGAGCAAGTTGTGAGCTATAACTGAAGGCTTTCTCACATTCACTGCACTTAAACGTTTTTTCTAAGGAGTGGATTTTTTGATGTACGGTCAGATTTGAACTCTGAGTGAAGGCTTTCCCACATTTTGAACAAACATATGGTTTCTGTCCAGTGTGGATTCGCTGATGTACAACAAGGTTTGCACTCTGAATGAAGGCTTTCCCACACTCATGACATTCGAAGGGCTTCTCCCCTGTGTGGATTCGCTGATGCACTACAAGGTTTGCACTCTGACTAAAGCCTTTCCCACATACACTACATGTAAAAGGTTTCTGTCCAGGCTGGCTTTTCTGATTTTTAACAGAGCTAGAACTAAAGCTGTATCTTTCCCCAGATTTCTGACATTTCTGATCTTCCTCTACTTTGAAGCTTTCAGGTACATGACAGTCCTTCACTGTCACATGTCTGAAATCTTTCTTTTCCCTCTTAATTGCCTGCTTATTTAACATGTTCCCTTTTTCACAGGCTTCTCCTAACTCAGGTCCTTGAGGATTAACTTTCTGGATTCTTCCTGATTTTATGAATGGTTTTTCTGCTTCATCATATATCTCAGTTTTTGGAACCAGTAACTGTGGCTTCTTGGTTTCAGCACCTGAAACAACAAACAGAAAGTACAAATGTCAGCTTATTCTGGCCTAGAAAAAGAAAAGGATCATCAAGTGATAAATGTCAGGAAGTATATGACTTCAGTGTACATAAAATGGCTTCATCAAAGGAAAGAATTCCCCTCACGTGTCACCTCTCTCCCCCACACCCAGAGCAGAATCCACTGATTTATGGATTTTCCAGCACTTCCACTTACCTCCATTAGATATCCAACTCACTGCCTCATGCCAGGAAAGCCATCTCCAGACAGCTCTCCTGGTTGTGTGATGAATGATCTTACAATTAAGACCAGTTATGAAAGACACCAATCTCTCCCCAGGCTTTCCTCCTTATCTTAGCCACTTAGTGTGGATTGCTTACAACCCACCAATTAATTAGGGGGATTCCGTCCCTGGAAATGAAGATCTATATAACTTAGACTTTTGTGTATGAGGAAGCTGGATATCAAAGAAAGGATAAGAATGGGTCACAGTGGATGCCAAAAGGACCAGAACAGCTGAGAGTACCTGAAACATTGAGAGGCTATGCAGCATTGAGGTTAAGAACATGGATTGTGGAGCCAGACTGCTTGTTTTCAAACACCTGCTCTGCCACTTACCAGCTGCATGACTATGGGCTAGTAACTTAACTTCTCTGTGCCTCAGTTTCCTTATCTCCAAATTAGGGACAATAACAGTATCTAGCCCATAAAACCATGAGATTAACTGAGTTACTCTACAGCAATGCCTGAAAACAGCCTTGGGGCATAGGAAGTGGCTCTGTGAGGGTCTGCAGTTGACTTTGAGCTGGACAACTAGAGCTGTGGGTCCAAGTGTTGGGGCCCAGGAGCAAAGACGAACCTTAGGACATAGGAGTTTTATGGTGATAGATGGCAACCCTAAAAGGGACTAAAGAATGTAAACAGAGTAAACAGCTGAACCCTTGTGTTGAGCAAACAGCCTCGCTTTGTGTCAAGGAAAGCTGGCCTTTCTGAGTTAAGTCTGAGACATTGTAGAGCCTGCTCCATTATGCCAATATCATAAAAACACCAAAATATCCTGAAGTTTTAAAACTCTTGACTAGTGTCTACATTGCCTCAGAACCCTAATGGTGTCAGAAAAGGGGTCCTGCAGTCAGTAACATAATTCTTTATGTTTGTCTCCTCTCCACCCCTACTACCCTTGACCCAAGAATGTGCACCCATGCAGCCTAGTGTTGGTAGAGCGAACCTTTCAACAGTATTTGAATTATACCAAGCTCAGGAGCACTACCCAGATAAGGCACAAGAAACAAGGGTGAACAGCAGAGGGAGGCAAGCCTCTCAGAGGAGGAGATATTCCTACTGGTGTCAGCTTAGAAGCAGGAAAGCTGTGAGCTGCAGATCATGCAGCAACTGCAGAGGGGAGAATCCAGCATCTACAAAACATCCGACCAGCACAGACCAGGCAACTCTCCAACGTAGGAGATGAGTGAGTGAGAGAGGGATGTTGGGATACAAAGCATCATGGGGCGCAGGGAAACAGCCCATTATGGCTGCCTGGTTAAGACAATAGTTACATGACACTCCCCTCACAATCATTCAGATAAGATGGGTGATGTTGGAAAAAGGCAATGCCTGAGGGGCTGCATAGCAGAGCACTGAATGTGATAACAAATTCTGAAATGTTAGTCTTTTTCCAGTTATTTCATTACTACTCCTCTGTTATCTTTCTCATAGCTATTCTATTTTTCTCCCTGTAGTTTAACTGCCCTTACATCATTTTTTTCTCTTTATTTTTTTAACTGAAGTATAATTAACGTACAGTCTTATATTAGTTCCAAGTGTACATGTTAATTCAACAATTCCATATATACATTCCATGCTTACCACCTTAAGTATAGTCACCATCTGTCTCCATATATTACTTTTTTCCCCACTATCCCTTTCCCCTACTGCCTCTTCATCTCTCCTCTCTTGGTTTTTATTTTAAAAATCAGTGTGTGTGAAATATTCTGATTTTTCCCTTGTAATGGTTTCATGTCTCTTCTGCTTTTCTTTTGCTCATTACTTTCTTCTCTTTTATGTTCTCTACTTTCTTTATCCTGTACATCTCACCTAATTTTTCTCCCTTCTAAATCTCCCTCCTGCTTTTTTCCATCTCCTCCTTTGCTTTAGCCCTGCATTACTTATATGGCCGGGGGGGGGGGGCTCCCATCCCCACTAAGCATCTCTCCAACTAGAACAAAGTCCAAGAATACTTCAGTCTATGACCTCACTTCCATCCCCTGACTTCACTCTTACCCTTTTTACCATGAGATTTAGAACACTAGAAAAACATGAAAGGGAAGACTGGTGGGAATTACTGAACCAACTAGAATCAGTAACAGAAACAACTCTTTTTATTTGCATCATGCTTTCTGTCAAAATTATTATAGAAGCAGGTACAACTGTGGCCTACAAGGGTCTCCATGTAGTGGTTATTTTAACAGTTTCATCACAGGGATGAAGTAAGAGCTAGGATCTTGGCCAATGCCCAGGGTTTAAGAAAAGGAAAGAAGGTTCATTCTGTGTACTCAAGCTCAAATCCCCTTGGGTTATTAATTAGCCAATAGTGTAGAACCTGTACCTCTGGCTTGTTTGAGATGGTATTTTTCCTTTTTTGGATCTTGAAGGATTACTGTAACCCAAGTACAGAAATAAACTAAAAATGCACTTGTAATCAACCAGAGGATAGGCAAAGTAGTAGCTTTTGAAATCAATACTTTTCTTTCATTTTTTAAAAAAGAGATCTGAAATTCTATACAAGTCTGCCATCTTAGCTGGTGACTGTATTATAATAGATGAAAGGTGATTTAATTTACTAAATTTGTAAGTCATTACAAATTTATTAGATTTATAAAAGTCGTGTGTTTATCAAGATTTTATACATAAGATTAGAATGTCTATCTACTTAGGTGTTTGAAATGTTTTACAGAATTAGATATATTATGGACGCCTGGGTGGCTCAGTCGTTGGGCATCTGCCTTCGGCTCAGGTCATGATCCCAGGGTCCTGGGATCAAGCCCCGCATGGGGCTTCCTGCTCAGCAGGAAGCCTGCTTCTCCCTCTTCCACTCCCCCTGCTTGTGTTCCCTCTCTCGCTGTGTCTCTGTCAAATAAATAAATAAAATCTTAAAAAAAAAATTAGATATATTAAATTTGAAACTTAATACATTTTACATATTTTTATTTGAGAATAAAAATGAGGAAATTTTTATATAAAGAAATTGATATGTAGGTAGAGCAAAATGCTTTAAAAGTTTTAAAAAATTAATCTGTAAAACCTGAGCCTTAACTAAACATGAATTAAAGAAAAAGTACAAATATTCTTATTTTTATAAAAATTTTTCTAGATGTATAAGTAAAATAAAAATAAATGTTTAAATGCTTAAAAACTTGGTTTTAAATGTATAAACTTTAATAAATCCAATAGTAATTAATACATAGGAAACTGTAGATAAAACTCTCTCAAATGTTACCCACCAGTAACACATCAAAATTTCTAAAACATGTTCATGTATATTATATGATTTTATCATCAAAACTCTTCTCTTTCACCTGTGTGGGAGCTAAAAAAAAAAAAGGGCAAGACTATGTCTTACCTATAACACTACCCAGCACATAGAAAGCAGGCCCCCCCAAAATCCTGTATTTACTGAATGAATACATCCCAGTTGACAGAACAGGAAATGGAGGTTGAGAGAGAAAGGACTTGTTCAAGGTCACAGAGTTATCAAAGGCAGGGCAGCAACTACATTCGCATCTTTCTCTTAATTCCTAGAGCTCATGTCATTGCTACGGGCTGCTATGCAAATAGCTGGCAGCACTCAAAAGGTAAATTTTGGCTGGGAACAGGGTCTTAAGGTAAGAGGCAAAGAAGGAAAACAGTGACCATTCCTGATGGATGGGTGCCAGTGCTGGAGTTAAGACAGTGAATGACTGCTAAAGCAAGGAAACAGAAAATGAGTGATAATACACAGAATGTACCAGAGAGAATGGAATAGAGAGCAGAAAAGTGGGCAACAGAAGCTGCTGACGGGGGGGAATGATTAAAGAACAGACAAGACAATGAAAGGTGATAATCCTAACATTTCCCACAATACTGGTTTAAGAAAGTGGTCAGTCTGAGAAATGGGTTAGAGAGCAGAGTGGGTTCAAAATATTCAGATGTAGCTCTGTACCAGGCAGACTTATAGAATGTGAGTGCCAGAAGGAACTTGGCAATCATCCAGAGACTACTTCTACAACACAGGACCCATGGCTACCATATTCTTGACCCATAGTTACATGTCACTCCTCCATAGGTAAGCTT